CCCCGCCGTGAGCGTTGCCAGGAGCCGCCAGCGGGGCTCTGCTCGGGGAAGCGGCGGCTTTTCCGTGGCGCCGGAGCGTGTCCGGCCGCCTGCGCTGCCGGGCGTCTCAGCTGCGCTTGCTCCTGAGTCAGGCTTCCCTCTCCGTGCGCCCGGGGCGCTGCGGGCTGTGGCCGCCCGCGTTATGTAATGGGAGCGGGACAGGCTTCCTGCGGGGCGTCCCGGCAGCGCCGCGGGCCCCGCCGCTTCCGTGGGCCTGGCCCGGCCGGGAGCGCAGGTGGAGGCGCTCTCYGGTCTGAAGCCGGTCGGAGCAATTGCCTGGATTGGCCCCATCCCAGCAAAGCCAGCGGCAGAGCAACGGGACACCGAACTCACCTGAAAGCTGTTCAAATTTMAAGTGAAATGAAAGCAGTTTGGGGGATTGTCCTTGTGATGCACTTCTTCCCSGCCTCCCAAAGTGCTGCAAGTTTCCCAGGCCATCTCTCCTTGTCGACCTCCAGCCATTTTGCTCCCTTTGCTGGACAGGGAAGAGATACAGATCACCCTTTATTGTGAGATCCTGTGATGGGACCTTGTGATTTCATTTAGCCTGACATTTTACATCTAAATGCTTAATGCTTTCTACAGTGCTGCATTAACATAGGCTTTCTGCAGTCTGCTGTAGTATGAAGCTGATATGAACTGTGCTTTACCCCAGTGTGCTCTATTAGCACTGATGATTTGTGTCTGAGTTGCTACATCAGTGCGTCTGTGATGCAGACTTAAATCCTGTGGAAATGTGCAAGCAGTAGTTTTCTTCTGCTAGCTGCCGCTTTCCCCTGCAGTTCAGCTGTAGCAGGGAGGAGACAAGTCTTTAACGTGTTCCTATCATCTAAGCAGGTATTGTTCTGTATGCTTGTGATACTCCCCGCCACTTGTTTTTTTTTTTTTTTTTCAGGTACTATTTATGTAAAGTGTGCAGATGGTATTGAGGGACCATCTCTTTGTTTATTTGTGTCATCAGGCTGTGGATCTTGTGACCTCCAGTGAAAAAAACAGCTTTGTGAATTGAGTTCAACTCTGATTTTCAAGCATCGTTAGATGATTTAGTATGACAGTAGTATGACTTAGTATGACTTGACAGTAGCTTTTTTGTGATATTAAAAAGCGCAACAAATGTGGTGAAACCTGGTGAAACAGTGCAGTGTAATATTATTTGCAAGACCGCCACTTAAAATTTTCCTTTCAGCTTGCTGCTGGTGAGCATCTTGTTTGTTTCACAGGCTTACCCAACTCTTCTATTACAGGCACACTGGGTTCCAAGAAACCYGTTTCTCTTGTGGATGAGACTCTACAGTGTTTAGATGGCTTTAGTTAGTTTTCTACAGAAAGTAGTATTTTTGGTGTTTACCTTAGATGGGGGGGAAAAAAAACCCTAAAAGTATAGCATAGTAAAATTGAGCTCCCATCCATCTTCATCCAAAGGTTCCCTCCCACCTGATGGGTAGGGCCTGCCTGGAGCAGTTGTTCTGGGTGAAGCTCGTGGTAGTTGCAGTTTGTGCAGTGTGAAACGGGGATAGGGAGTGACAGGATCTGAGGTACAATAAATATTGCCACAGAGTGTAGGTAGTAGCTGGAATGAGACAAGTTGCCCCGTACAGAAGCCAAGAATCCCAAGCTGGACTGTTCCTCCTTAGCAGCAGAGACTCTTTTGTTGTTGATGGCTACAACTTGAACTCGGAAGCTTCCGTTAACACTTTCTACCTCTGATCAGCTTCGCAGTGTGRACTTGAAATGTGTGGACTGATAACTCAGCTTCTGCTGAAGAGGGCAATTTCCTTCTGCATAAGCTGCTCATGTTTAGGCAAATTTATATTTTGAAATTAACAATGTCAGAGGACTGGGTTAGGTAGCTTACTAGATAGCTTGTGAACAAACAAAGTACAGGATACGCTTTAAAAGTGCCTTTTTAAACATGAGCAATATTAGATCTATGAATTCCCTTTCTCCCTGTGCTGCAACTGAACTTTCTCACAGAGACAGCCTGCATGTATGTGGAGCCCCCAAAGGTACAATATTTAGAAGTTCACAGTGTCAAAGTTATTTTTAACCTAYGCATAATGGAAATTAAAACAAGCTTGGCTAATACGGTTCTATTTTTGTTCTACTCTTGTTTCTTACAGAGAGTTTAAATACTCCACTTAGTAACTTGTCAGGGATAAAGTTTGACAGTCAAAATGCTTCCAGTCCTATTACGTTCTTAACTGGTAAGCTTGTTAGGCATTTACTTATAGGCCATGTTCTTCTAACCGAAAATGCCAGACSTTGACTAGACTGTCAGTTACTGAGATTGTAATCATGAGGAAGCTACTGTTTTCAAGAGAGTGGGGCAAAACACTGTATTAGTTCTGGTTTTGTTGGGTTCCTTGACATGAAACTTCCTTGGGTTTTTCCCTTCTCACAGAGACTTGGGATTGAAGGAAGTACAGATTGGTTGTGTATTAATAAAAGCTGGCATGGATTAAATATCAAGTGAAATGAATAGTCTAGTAGTTTTTATTTAGCTAAAGGAAGTGTGGATTGTATTTCACTGTCACTGAAATGATAATTTAGAAGAGGGCATAAGAGGTCATCTAATGCTTCCTGTAAGGATTCAATTATATCTAAAAAATTCCTGAAAGATTTGTTTAACCTATTCTTTAAAAAACAAACAACAACAAAAATAACTCTTCCCTCACTGCCAAAAAGATATATTCTGCATCACAGGTCAGTCTGATTCAGCATTTAATACTTGTCTTTAAAAGTGTTATCCAATATCTCATCTTAAACCTTCATCTTGTAGTCTAATACGTTGCTTTCGTAGTCTAATACATTTCCTGTTTGTTGTGGACAGCTTTCTTCAAATACATAAAAGGTGGCTGAGAAGAGAATCTGTTGTGTCTTCTGCTTTTACTTTGGAGAAGAGTCAGCTTCAATTACTTCCATTTTCCTTGGTGTTTTTTTTTCCCCAATCTCTTAGGGACCTTAATTACCTCCACATTCTTTCCTTTTGTTTCATGTTTTAGGGAGCATTATGCAGAATCAGACACAGTGCCTAGAYTGAGACTTACCAAAAGCAAACAGAGCAGAGAGTTTCTTCATAGTGTTATAAATAGGCTTCCTTATCTCAATCTGATTAATGCCGTCTCCATCCCTGTTTTCTGAAAGCAAAGTTATGTTGTTGAGYTTACCAACTTTCAAAATTATCATCAAATCTTTAATGAATACTGTCTAATGATTATATACTTGAAAGTATGATTTGCAAATAATGTGAGTGAACAGTTACTATCCTAAAGTTGTACTGTAAATCTGCTTTTATGAAGTAACTTAATATTTTCAACCTGTTTCTCTAATTGTAGTTCACAGAAGAAAAGCTTGGACAAGCAGAGAAGACTGAACTGGATGCTCACCTGGAGAACCTTCTCAGCAAGGCAGAATGCACTAAATTGTGGACAGAAAAAATAATGAAACAGACAGAAGTATTATTGCAGCCAAATCCAAGTAAGAAGTCTTTCAGGCTTCTGTTTGCAATTTCTGAATTTTTGCCCGTGTAACTGTTTACTGACATAGGAATTTTATAAGTCATGACTAAATATAGCAGTTATAAATCTCTAGGGCTGGTGTTAGGGAAGGCTGGAGGAAACAGTTCTCTTGTTCATTTAGTTTAGCAATCCTTTGTGTTAGGTATTTACTTTTCCAGAAACTTAGAGTCTTGAATCAGTAATTGGAGGCTATAGACCTACATGAGGAAGCTTTATTAAAGGGGTAATATATGGTAATATCTCAGTTATGCTGACCAGTCTATTTTCTGATGTCTAAAAATAATCAGTGTTAAGTGATGATCTTCATCTGGGAATGTAACTTCAACTGTTTGCCAATCTGCTCGGGAGGACTGTCACCTGTTCCTGAGAACTTATTTTGTTTGTATTTAATAGAACAACCTGTCTGGGTGAGACAGAAGRGGCTTCCAGTCAAAATTTTAGTAGTATGTTTAGGTCAGACCCAAGCAATAGTCCAGTAACGTTTTAGGTGACGTTTTTGGATCTTCTGTAATTTAATCTGTCCACAATAAAATAATGGCCAGAGTAAGGAAAAAGTTGAAGTYGAATCCATCTTGGTTCATGCTTGGTGCTAGAAAGTGAACTGACAACTGTGTTTAAGACTAACTTTTGTGACATTGACAAGGAAGTAGTTATTTAATTCATCATCATTGTAAGTTATCTGTTTAACACTATGTTTTAGTTTCATCAAAGTGGGAGGTTTGTTCATTAGAGGACAGCTTTGGATTGCCTGTGTTACTACATGCTAAATTTGGTTCACAGTGTATGCATGAATGAAGTGAGTTAACTATGAAGTCGAACGGTTGATCAGAGAAATCAGGTTTTGTATCTCAGAAGTTTAAGATAACTGTAAAGGGCAGTGTTTCTGTCAAGGTCTGTAGAGCCTTTTATGGCTAAAGAGCATTTTATGGCTCAACATCAAGAAGCACGTGAACAYAGCATGACAAACATTGAGTACAATTGAGCCCTTAGAGTAGTACTTTCCATTTTACAATATTAAATTACTTAAGCTTAAATATGTGGATTTTTGAAAATTATTTTCTTTCCTCTTACTTTTGTAAATTATACTTGAATAGCAGTAAATCAATTTTTTTTTTCTTCAGATGCTAGGATAGAAGAATTTGTGTATGAGAAGTTGGACCGCAAAGCCCCAAGTCGTCTGAATAATCCAGAGCTACTAGGCCAGTATATGATTGATGCAGGGAATGAATTTGGACCTGGGACAGCCTATGGTAAGTGAAAGCAGAGAATATGACTTGTGTTGCAGAAATGGGAAGGGGAAAATGCACAGATACTTTGTTTGTTTGTTAACAATGTGGAGTGGTATGTTTTGCCTTCCTCTAGGTAATACTACAATGCTTTTTTATAACATTTTGAGATGATTTGTATCCCTTTGAACATTAAGAAGTCGGTGGTGAGGCTTCTATCACAACCTAAGGATTACAGAAGATAGGAATAGCTGTTTGTGTGTGTGTGTGTGTGTGTGTGTGTGTGTGGAATATCACCTCAATGTTTCTCCCTTCTTCACCAATACCTATGATAGGGTAGGGGTGACATTGAATATAATTTCAAGTGACTTTTGATGGTGTATTTTATACATATTTAACTATATAAATATGTAATTATAAATTATAATGTCTTTTTTCTCTATAACTCTTGCAGTTAAATCTRTTATCACTGTTTTTAATTTGGCTTAAACAACTGGAATGCATAGTTGTCATGCAGCTTGCAATCGTAAACTCTGACAGTTCAGTTGCTTGTCTCAGGGTTAGAGTATGAGGCAAGTTCTTGTCCTTGGAAGGATCRGTTCTCTACATGTGGAAATAATGCAATTACCTTCCTAAGGAAGAAAATTATACTTCAAAAAAAAAAAAAAAAAGAAAAAGTCAAATGTTTTGTAGAAGATGTATGGATACACAGTCAATGACAACAGGCTTTATTCCTTTTATGGCCCTAAAAAAATGTGACATTATCTGTGATTCTTCTTAAATTGTCAGACCCATGAGTTTTTTCTGTTTGTTTTAATCAAATAGAATTGTAGTTACAGGCAAAGAGCCCTTCTGCTTGCATTTGCTGCAGCTCTTATAACTGGGGTCAAGTTGCGTGAACCATTAGCGTAAAGTTACTCTTTAACCTTTCAAGTGGTGTCACAAAGTGTTTTTAGCATTCAGAAAACCTAGAGAGTGTTTTTTGTAACTTGGACTTTTCAGTTTCTGAAAATCTATATTCTTGTTGAAATCTGCCCTTGAACTGATTTTTTTATTATAATTATTTAAACAAAAAAAAAAAAAAGACTAATTCAAAGGAAATTAATAACTGATTGAGACTTCTTTTGACTACTACTGTGGCACTTCCGAGCTGCTGACCTAGACTCTTGTACCTGTAAAAACATCAATTTTTTTGGTTTTCCTTTGCTTTAAAGCAAAAAACAAAAAAGCAGCTGCCTGGATTGCTGTGAAATTTGCATATTATTTCCTTTGCAGGAAATGCACTCATTAAATGTGGAGAAACACAAAAGCGCATTGGGACAGCAGACAGAGAATTAATTCAAACTTCTGCTATAAATTTTCTCACTCCCCTAAGAAACTTTATTGAAGGAGACTACAAAACTATTACTGTAAGTAGAAGTGAACTACTTCTGTCATTTCACAGTAGTTGTAAATCTAAGCTTTTTTAAATCAAGTGATAGATAATTGTATAATGTTTTATTTAAAATAATGTATAAAATCAGATGGAATTTGTCCTATTGGTTTATATTCTCTTCATTTAACCAAGCTAAATAAATCATTTTGAAAACTTACTTTTTGTAGTTAATGTGCCGGATTTTGCTTTTAACTATTTCTTTTCTCCTGAACTAACTTAACTCATTTACAGAAAGAGCGTAAACTATTACAAAATAAACGTCTAGATTTGGATGCAGCAAAAACTAGATTGAAGAAGGCCAAAGTTGCAGAAGCTCGAGCTGCAGTAAGTAAAGTTTTTTGATGATGTTGGTGGGTTTTTTTTTCTTTTTTTTGTTTGTTTGTTTACTTTTTTCATAACTCTCAAGCTTATTTTATATATTTATAAACTTGGCTGATTGCTTAGGCTTCCACCCAGCTTTTTGGACTTGCTGTTTTCACATAACCAGATGGGACAGAACTCAAACTCATATCTTAACCATTCTTGTTCTCTCAGTACTTTTTTGAGGAAATTGAAATGTTAGTGAAACAACAAAATCAGCTCCTTTTGAAACTCTTTAAATTCTCTTTAAAATGGAGACAAAATTAAATGTAGGTAACTGGAGGGGTGCGTATGCATGTAGTGTTTTCATAGCTACCTGTAGACTGTTTTCCTTAAATACCCAGAGTTACTGAGATGATGGATAGTCCTCCTCCTCCACCCCCCCAAAAAGCTGCTTAATTTGGGAAACTAACACTGGTGAGTGGAGCAGAGTATTGGCCAGCAGTGGAGTTTGGAAACGTTGGAGAGAGAGGCGAAGTAAACACTGTGCCTTTACTTAGACTTGTTCAGTGTTACATGTCCTGAAGAAAAGGAAGTGTTTGGGGTATTAGCTTCCTGGTGATGTGGTGGCAGTTAAATGCTTCCTAAAGCAGTAGAAAGACCAAGAGGAAGTTGTTTCTACTAAGCTCATCGTTAGAAGGAAGGCTGTGCACTCTGATTTATTGCATCCATCACCAGCGTAAATTCTTACTCATGTGAAGCTGTATGCTCTGACACATTGCTCCCAATTGCTACTGCTATTACATGTCCAATCTTAAATTTTCATGTAGMAAATACTTTATAGTTTTATTTAAAAATAGTTAAAAATAACTCAAAATAATTCAGTGCTCATAAAACATGAAACCCCAGATCTCTTGGATCACTTTAAAATGCTTMAGTTGCACTATTAGGGTGGTTTGACATTTAGAAATGCAGCAGTTCCTAGCCTTGAAACAAAGTGGGGAAAAAAATGTACAAGAAGTGAGGATTTGCATGGAAACAGGTGTGATGCTARTGGCTGGTCTTCCACTGAATCACTTTATTTATGGAAAATGTCTGACAAAACTTACTGAACTAATGGTTTAGTAAAATGTTTTAAGCCAGGATGCACGTTCTTCCAAGTTTCACTGCTCTCCGACAACCTGGAATAAAGTGATCAATTAGTATCTACATTTGATTGTATGTTGTAAAACTACTTCAGATTTGAGGAAAAGGCATCCTCCCATACTTGCAGCACAAATGAAGTACCTTAGATGAGTATTTAAAATAAATAAAACTGTTCAGATATCTGTATTCAGTTCACGGTTCTGCTTAAACTTGCTTTCTTTTATGTCAATAACCTATTCACTTGCTATGTTCACAGTATAACTTGGTTTTGTCTTTATCTATGCACTTAAGCAACTAAACACCTCTCAGCCTGAAGAGAATAACATTATGGTAAATGTCTCTTACGTGCTCAACTTGCTGCATGTAAAATGGCTAAAGGTTTGTTGGCCTTCTGTGTTCATTCATTTCCTTCCTAAGTGTTTCCTCTTGCTATCCAGATTGCGTAGTCCTGTTTAAGATGTTTTCCAAGAGCAAATGAGCTTGTTTATTGCAACTTACTACTGTAGYGTTTGTGCACATTTCTTCCTACCAAAGTCCCAACTGTGGCATCAGCRACTTATAACTGCTGGAATATGGAAATTAAAGAACGGCATTGCAAGAGGGAACTGGGACAGCAAGCTATGCTAACCTCCAGATTAACTTACTTGCATTTTTTTATTTACTCCTGCTACTTCTTTAAAACTCAGTTTGAGACATCTCTACAGCATAAATAGTAAATTCAGATTAGTGACGATTCTTGTGAAAGAATAAACTAAGTGGAATTAGCAAGAGAAATCACTCATTTCTCTGTTTCAGTCATTCTTTAAYGTAGTGTTGAAACAAGAACGTTTTTTCGTAGTTTTCCAGTATTCYAATACATTAAGATAACATAGCTAAATTAATTCATAATGTAACTTTGTTTGGTTCATGTCATTTTCCAAGTAATTGTGTTTCAAATATCATATTTTTTAAGATTCTAAGTTTGACAAGTCGTATCCTCTTCAATATCTATTTGGTTTCACAAATACAGTCCTAAACATACTGACTTYAGTTTCATTGTATATGAAGGGCTTTGGGCAACTGACTCATTCATAGCAATCCTCAAATGTCTTTGAGGTCCTAAAGAAAGATAGGGAAATATTTAAAAGCTAAAGTATAGTTGCATCTTGCATTAAAGCACCACAATGCTCTTCTAAGTGTGTATGTTTTTTATCTTCCCCCTCTCCCTGCTTCACGCTTCACTTTTAACGCTGGCTAGATATGGGCTGAGGAGGTGACAAAAGTAAGTAAACAGTTTAGAAACCACAACATTCGGAAACCATAAATCGTGCTGGTGTCATGTAATAAAGGATATTGCACATTGCTGATTTCAGTGTAATGTTGGACATTTGATGTTATATGAGACTCTGCTGTTTTTCTCCAGGGACTTTCAAATTCCAGGGGCAATACAAAACCCGTGGTTTGTTTTCTAAAATAAGCTGGCTCTTAGCACCATGATTTTCATTTGACAAGATGTAATAGAAAAGAACTACAGAGTTTATCTTTTCACAGTTACTGACATGATGGGCTATTAAGAAAATACACTAGCAGTGAGCTTATCTAAACATTTTCAGAAACATTGATGTCTAGTACTCTAACTGTTCTAAAAAATACTGATGTGACACTACTAACCAGATGCCAAAACAGTTCCTGATTTTTTTTTTTTTCCCTTCTACCCCTGCAGTTTCAGCAGAGAACACAATGCTTATTTTAAAAACTCAAGTTATGAGGTAGACTAGTCTGAACTGTACCGGAGTTATAGGTGTAGTATTAGCCTCTGGACAGTCAGAGAAAAGAGCTTGAGGCCTTCTAAAATTGAAATACGAGGAGATGCAGGGATCTGTCATCGTGGCTTTCAGCCTGTCCAGTAATCTTTACATCAATTACCATCTTTTTGCGATAGTATTCTCATGCTCTTAGTGATAAAAATTCCTTTAGTTTAACTTTCCTGCTGAAATATGTAATTGGGGTATATGGAGTAACTGCTATGAAGCACATGGGATGGGTAGTCATGTCCTGCACTTTGAACACCTGAGTTTTGTTATAAATCTTTCCCACTGTCTAGTGTAGTCRAGGAAGAGATCAGAGGTTTTAGCACATTGCAGTTAGGGTATGGGTAAGCATCAAGAGGGTCTGTCATGGATCCATGGCCATAGAGGAGACGAGGAACACTAGCCATCCTGGGGAGTGAGATTCTAGCCATTATTGCCATCTTAGTAATAGTCTCCCTAATAAAACAAGTTTAGGACTGTGATTGTGTTGTCTTATGCTCTTGTGATTGTATGTTTCTTAGCTACATGTTTGCATAGTATTTCCAAGGATCATTCATATAGATTCATATGTATATTCATAATCTGAGTTTGGGGAGATTCTGTACTTCTGAATTTTCATATTAAGATCCCAAAATCTTATTTTAAGCTTGGGGAGCAAACAATATTTTGAGGGATCTTCATGGGAGATATCCAGCGATGCCTTCTGAACGTTGTTTAAATAACAAAGTATGGCTGCAGCTGAAGGCAGCAGGGAGGTTTAGACTTGTGTTTTGTGCACGTTTTTTTTTTTTTTTTTTTTTTTTTT